CTTTGCATGGCTAGCGCCTCTACTACCCAATGCTCAGCCACTTCCCTGGCCCTCATCTATAGGACTATGAACTTTCAGTGACTGTGAACCAGAGAAGGGTGAGCTGGGCAAATAAAGGTCGACTCGAAAGACTGCCCTAAAGCTACTTGCTTTATGAATGATGATACTGCTGATATTACCTATAAGATTGAAGGTGGAAATTTTTAGAGACTAATTGATCGCCAATGTCTGCCACAAGCACAGGGATGGAAAGGGAAATGATGAGGATCCCATTCCAAGAATGTTCACCAACCTTGATTTAGGCAAGAAGTGTGTATTAGGTGTCAAACGAACAAAAGCTACCTGATAGATTAAAGGTTTATTCTAAAGCAAATTACTATGTCCAGAAAAATGCTTATATAATCCCACAAGGGGCTTAGAAAGGAATGGGAAATACCTGCAATATAAATGCAGATCACCTTTATTACAAAGTTGGGTCACATTCTGATTCCTAGCCTAATTTCCTATATCATAAAACCTATATTCAATTTCATAAATAGCATACAGCAAGAATCATAAATTTAGTTAATGCAGAAATTTAACAGATTTTTTTTAAAAAAAATGAGAGTGAGAAACAGCTGTTTGAGAGCAAGAATCAGAAAGGGCGCTTTCTTTGAAGCTATGTTTTTCCCTCTGACGCCACCTCCTTGGGGATATAACTAGAGAGAAATAAATTTCACAGCTAATATATATGAAGTAACATGTTTAACATTATCCAATGAATTTATATCTACCTAAAGCATATAAATTTATTCCACATAAACTGTCGCCTTCAACAGAATTCATTAAAATAACGTTACAGCTTCTGAATTAAATGCAATCTTCTAATTGGAATTTAATCTTACAATAGTAGTCGGTGGGTTTTCTTTTTTAATTGACAAACGGAATAATTCATTCATGTGCTTCATGCTTCCATCTGAAGGATGCCACAGCACATTTGACACGGGTTGGCCGGTCACAGCTGTGAGCCTGGAGGCTCGTGCATGGCTATCCTGCCTCTGTTTGTGGGCAGGAAAGGATGGACACTGTCCATGCTGAATGACTGCATCACTAATATATTCTATTACCTCCATGAAAATGTCATGTTAATTTCTGATCTTCATCAAGCCAGACAATGGCTTCTATCATTGGCCGTTAGCCAATTAGCTATGTGGAAAATATTCGACCAATTACATTACATATATTAGGTTAGGGACTGGAGAGAGAGGCAAAATAAACGTGTTGAAAATACTGGGGAGATAAAATTTAAGTTGACACTGTCTCCGCATGCTGGAGCCCAAGTTATACAATCTGATAGGCAGCTGCCAGTGCTTATAAATGCTTATTAAATCTCGCTTCTCTTTATGGCATGAGAGAAGATCTGTATTTTTACCAATATTAGCTTCATTGTGTTATGAAAGAGACCAAAATACTTAAGATCATTCGCTCCAGCTTATAAAACATATTATATAGTTTATTAAATTGTTGAAATTACTTTTCAAAGTCAAAATTTCACAGACTGGAAGTTTAAGCACAACCAAGTGACTTGACCCAATGACAGGCTGCAACCCAAGGTGGCCCCAGAAAGGAATATGTCAGCCTGCACTCCTGTCTCAGACCTCTGGCAAGTTGCATGCATCTTCTCCTGAAATCTGAATGGCCATGATCCCCTCCCTAAATCAATGGAGAAAGAAATGAAGGAAGAGAGGGAATGGAGGGAGGAGTTTGTCCTCAAGTTTCAGTTAAAAAGCAAAGATGCCCAGCTTCACAAAGTAGCCTCTTGCCTGACTTGAAGTGAGATAGATGGGTTTGTATCTTCCAAGTTTTTACTTCTCTGCAAGTCAACAGTTAAGAATGGGATCACTAGAAGGATCAAAAACAAACTGAAAGTAGGAATATGGTAAAGTTGGTAAAACATTTGCCATGCATACATGGGGACCTCAGTTAAGGTTCCCAGCAGTTACATATAATACCTATACTTGTATTCTCAGATCTGGGAAGACAGAAATAGACTCAACCAGACTACCCATCTCTGCAAGTTCCAGGCATGCAAGAGACCCAGTCTCATAAAACAAGATGAATACAATATGAGGTTGATCTCTGGCATCTGCACACACAGGCACACATAGAGATAGATACCACACCCCCCCACACACACACACAGAAACTGCACACGAATAAATGAAAATAACATGAACAATGTGAGCCAATCCCACATATCACTTGGGTTTAGAGTGTGTCACCAGATCTGTGGAGAATTTGGTGGTAGAGACAAGACAAGGCCAGAGCACAGCCTAACAAATAAGCCAGAACCTCTGCCATTTCTCATCAATCTTCTCAGGAACACTATGCAAATCCAGACTGTTATTATCACATTTATTAATAACCATGGCTAGCTGCCTATTAAATATGCAACAGACTTAGCCACTCTTCACTCCATGCCTCAGACAGGGAACGACATTAACTAATGCTTCACGCTCATGCCAGGCAACACAGAGGCAACACAGAGGTCTGCCAGGTGAATGGCGGGCTTAACGAGCCACAGCCCACAGACAGACTCTCCTTTCTCATCCCTTATTTTGTTACACAGACATGTTTACTGCTCACATTGATGCAGTACATCACCCACCTTCTGGTCTAAAACTTTTGCTATAGTGATCTACTTGTGCAAACCTTTCATCTCAGTTTCATTCCCCTGCACCCAAGGCAGGTGATGTGACAGCCGAACCACCCACCCTCGTGGATCTGACCTGCTTTACCATGAGGACACGTTCCAGGAAATGCTTCACTCAGAACAAGAGTTGATTTTGAGACTAAAGACTCCAAATGATTAGCAATCATTTGTTTACGCGATAAGCTGTGAGGTGTAAAAGGCACAAGGTTATGACATTGAAAGGACTCAACCAGCCTTCAGGTATGCGACACCTGGGCAGGCCAAGTCATCACATCACCGAGAATCCATCCTTCGGTATGGCTCAAAGCCAACTGGGGGGGTGGATGAAAAGATCAGAATGACTGTTCCAGCTCACAGGACCTCTACTTCCTACTAAAAACACAACCGTGGGAAGTTTATTACAGTCTGAGAAACAGAAAGCATTCCCTTACTTATAAAAACTAACACTGCTATTCAATATGGCCTAATAGTCAATTTTTTTTTCAAAAAAGTGATTTTCATTACAGTTCTTCAGACGGACTTTTCCGATAGTCTTATCAACTGAAATTGACAGGTAAAATAGACCGACTATTCATTAAACCTATTCATGTGGTTTTGTTCAATTTCATACGACAATTTCATGGCAACGAGACTGAGTCAGACTCTCAGTATTGAAGTCAGGGGTGACAGATAAGAGAGGCTGGGCTTGGTGACATTTCAAGACCTTCAGAATCCTAACCACTTCTATGAATTCTCATTTGTACTCCAGACAGATGAAAGCTTTAGTCTCAACCCCACCTGTATGTGTCCCTAATGTGTGTCATCTGTTCACCCATCTACAAACCATTCCCCAAAGCCTATCTAAGGACTAGAAGCCTCTGAGAGGGACCCCCCCACCCCCAGACTTGGCTCAGGACCCTGAAAAAGTATCTAAGATTTCACCCAGCTCTAACATCCCATGACTCCATTGGCCATTTCTTTATACTGTGGACATCCTTGTCTTTTGTGTGTTGTTGATTGCTTGCCTACTTCTTGTCAGTGAAGGAAAAACTACTGTGCAGAAAGCAGCAGGATATTCTCTCCCTCTCCAGCTGCAGTAGGGCGAAATGAACAGTGTGATTAGTCTGCTAAGAACCAGGAAAGCCAACAGGCTCTTGAGGGACAGGATGATATTCAACAGCAAGGCTACTTGTTTTCCTAATGTTCCATGAAATCAGAGAGGTTTGTCAACATGCTCTCTAGCCATAAAATCCTCCAGTGTCTGGCCCAAGCACCTGAATGTATATAAAACAATGTTCTCAAGATGCACTCATTATCAGAAGAGTGGTCAGTTGGGGACCAATTTCTATTCCATTCCTAAACTAAGCCCAGGGACATCAACACCCCACTCAGACAGTGTGGGCTTTAGCAGTGCCATTTGAAAGTGGAAAAGGGTTGAGCAGACAACTTTCCAGAGCCTGGTTAGTACAGACACCATCTAATCCATTAGCACAATTTGTATGGAACACAAGGAATCAAAAGAAAGAGATTATGTACTTGTCAGCTAATTATTAGTTAACTTTGAATATGTGTTCTTTTGGTTTTATTCTTTATTAAATCTGTTTTGCATACAATTCCCCTGATGAGATGAGTTTATGTCAATGGCTTTTAGCACCTAACATCACTCAATAAATACCTGACATTAAATGGGTCCCATAAATCGACTCTATTCTAGGACAAGCTACAGTAGACTGTCAGACATTTCCCCCACAACCTCTGCTTCAATAAGTGACTAGGTATAAGGGCAACTCACAGAGATTCATTACTACATGGGAAGCCACTGGTTTCTCAGGAACATGGTAGATGGTATCAAATATGGAAAGTATAGATAACAGGAAAATATCATATTCTTCTAACATGCCCCTGAATGACCTAAAGAGGCAGGTGATGGGCGAAAAGTCCCCAGAACCTTTTAAGAAAATGTTTGAGAAATCAAAATTGCAACGCTTTGGCTTTTTCAGGAGCCCATTCTATGAGGGCTGATGACAGAGAACCTATCCATGAGCAAACTGGAACTCAAGACGAAGCCATCAGAGCTGTACTGCAGGGTGGCTTGTATTACTGATAAGTTATGACAGGGCTCAAAAAGCAATTGCTTCAGAGTCTTACTAAAACAAAAAGTGACGTGAGAAAACTTCCCTCATGATTCCTATAATAATTATCCTAGGAGGTTTAACAATGAGATGAACACTGTGATGGGCCACTGTCTTCACTGACTCTTTCTTGTTGTTGTTGCTATTGTTGTTTTGGGGGGGCTCTTGTGCCTTTTCCAACACCAACTTTCACTCACCCTTCCGGCTAGCAGGCATCACACCCCACCGTTCATGGCTGAAGGCGATTCAGAGAAGGGAGCGCAGCCCTCACCATGGCCGAAAGGGTTCCCTCCTCGGAAACTGGGACTGTCAGCAGAAGCTCCCAGGACACTGCAACACAAAAATGTTTTTTACACATAAGTAAGATATAACTTCTGAAACCACTACTTCCTCAAACTTGAAAACAGCAATACAGACACGGGGAAAACACCGTGCCAACAGTGTGATGCTCACTCGCCGCAACTGGAAGCTGGTTTTGAACGACATAGGCCATTACTTACTGAGAGTTTTCTATCACCTTTTTAAATAGTTTAGCATTTCAAATGCATGAGGTCCTATCAGAAATGGTTTGAGTAATATGGAACCATGTTAAGTTGAACTTTATACACATAAATAAAAACATCTTGTCTTCTTAGATGATGCTCTTTGCCAGAGGATGAAAAAAAAAACACTCAAAAATGATAAAAGAAGTAATGAATTAAAATCATTTGCAATAACAATAATCATGAAGAAGAAACCAGGGGAAAAAAGTCACAATTTTTTAATGCAAAATAATTACATTTTACTATTCAGGGGCTCTTGAGTTCTGTAAGTAACACACTCATATATATATTTCCACTGAGGGAGAAGACACATTGCACTGACAGGGGCTCAAAATTGAGGAGCCTCAAATCTGGCCTGAGAACAGCACTGTTCAACTGTGTGGCCATAAAGAGCCTCTTAACATCTTGGGATTCTAGTCCTGCACCTGCAAATACAGGTATTTGCCAGTACTCACCTACCTCCTAGTGTTCCTGGCCTCTCTATCATAAAGCATGATTGTCTTTAAGGAACTTGAACTATTAGTGTCTCCTTCAACACCATGCATGGAAGCATCATTGAAATCTGTTCAAAATGCAGACTGGGGGACCATGCAATCCATGACTGATTTAGTATGTCCGAGGGAGACCTGAAACTACATTTCCACCATATTACCAGAAGAAACAGTGAAGCATACTGAAAGTAACGGCAAGTCCTGTGCTCCAGTTGTCACAGATATCCTTGGGGCCCGGACTTAGAAAGCTTCTCTGAAGCTATGGGCTCTATCTCACATAACAAAAAGTTATACACCAGTGTCCCTCATTCTCTGAGCAAAATCTAAACACAGTCTAGTCCTTACCTAGAGGGTTCTTTCTGAGTATTAGGGGCACCAGCCTCTTCAGAAGCCTGCCCTGCCCATCGACTTACGCCCACCTCCTACTTATCCTCAACCATATCAGACTACTTGTTTTCTCAAGAACCGCTGGCACCTTTTCCAAACCCTTGCCTTGTTTATTCATCTGTGTTCCTCCGTAGACCATCAGTTCCATGAGAGAAAGTCTTTGCCCGCCACTTTAAAACTTCAGTAAATCACTGCCACATGAAAGGCTCTTCACACAGATGTTTAGTCAACAAATGACTCAAAAATTACAACCAGTAAATCAGCATCTCCTCAAACAGAACTGCCATAGATGGACAGCTAGATACACAATACCATCTGAAGGATTTTACAATCATTATTCCATTTCCTAAGAAGTGTGTTATAGGGCCAGAAAGATAGCTCAGCAGTTAAGAGTATTGGCTGCTCCTTCAGAGACCCCAGGTTGATTCCCAGCACCCATGTGGTAACTCACAAATTATCTAAAACCACTATTCTAGGGAATCAGACACCCTCTTCTGGCCTTTGTAGACACATGCAAGTGGTACAGACATACAAGTTGGCAAAATACCCAGACACACTGGACGGAATGAATGGAAGAGAAGAGAAGAGAAGAAGAGAAGAGAAGAGAAGAGAAGTTGTATTATCAAGTATCTACTATAGATAGTGAGGCATTGAGAATTCCACTGACTGGGTTCTGTAAAGCTTATTCCAAGAAATGCATACTTTTCCAAGTCACTGCACAAATGCAAAGTTTCGGATCCTAAATTACATGGCCTTCTGACGCAGGCTTCTGAAGCAGGCTTGCTCAGCCTAGTTTTGGCTATGAGACCTCATGGGAGACACTTCACCTTTCTTCCCTTCAAGTAGAGGAAGAGTTCAAACACCCACAATCACCAGACACCCAGCAATACTTGGTGGGATTTCCAGAGCATCTGCTACTGCAAACAAGGGCACTAAGCCCAGATTTCCTCCCAGCAGAATTCCAGAATTGTTCCAAGATAGCACCTAATACCCTTAATAGTTTATATTTAAATAAGGAGAGGGAGGAGGAGGACGACGAAGAAGAAGGAAAGAACTGTTAAAGTTACTCTTTTGTCTCCAATTCTAGAACAATTCAGAAGCCCAGCAGAGTGGGAATAGTGCCAGGGAACACAGGAGGGCGCGGGGCTAACCACAGAAAGTTTCTGGTCAGCTGATTCCTTTTGAGAGGAACTGTCTTCAGCAAGTTTTAGAAGGAATTAGAAGCTGGGGTACAAGCCCGGCAGCAAAGCACAAATTCCTCCTGAATAGCCTGGGGATAGGCCATGAGAAAAGAGCCAGCAAGGCATCTAGTGTGAGGACCAAACAGGAGACTCTGCCCCAAGGGGTTTTCTTTTCCTAAGTGAAGGAAGGGCAGCTTTCCAGTCAAGCCACCAGTGGGTCAAGCCACAGCCTGGGACTCTGCTCAGCGACTCTGCCGCGCTTCACTTAAAATGCAGAAGAGTAACCGGGAACACCCAAAAATAAAGGACCAAGTCCCATTGTGGTTTGTGGGTCAATTCTGTTTGGTTTGGGGGGTGTTTGGTTGAGCATCCAGCAGACACAGAAACTGTCTCCACTCAGCTCTATAACTAACTAAAACGCTTAACTGCTCTGGGCTCCAGAAATGAAAAATACAGGCACTGAAGAAAGACAGATATCCAAATAAATTATCCAGAACACTGCCCAGAGGCAAAAGCTGTCTACCTAGAAGTGTATACCCAGAAAAACTATCTTTCAAAACAGAAGGTGAAAAGAGAGCCTTCCAGACAAAAAGGAGTTTATCACTTCTTTATAAGGACAGTCTGAAAGATTAATGGTAAGCTGAAAGAAAATTATTTCGAAGGACAGTTCTTTGATTTCAATATGTAGTGGTGAGCCAAAATAATGGGGACTTGAGAGGAAACAAGCAAATGTATTAACAGAGTAAAAGACAGGTCTCAAAATTTTTAAATATATGTGAACACACACACACACACACACTGCACAGTCCTGGACCGCTTACCCGCGCTCATTTGTTCTTTCTTCATATTGTATTTATGTCAATCACCAAGACCAGGGTGGCACATTCCAACTGAGGCACTAGCTTTAGAAGTAGATCCCTGCCCTCCATACAAAACTTCTCCATCAGTTGCAGAGATCAGACAACAGACACCCCAGGTAACTGCAGCCCGCTGCATTTCTCCCAGAGCTCTCTAGGCCAAGCCACTAGGGGCTCAGCCCTGGGCAGTTTGGGCTGCAGGCACCACAGGGGCATTGTTCTCCTCCACTCCCCTACAGCCCCAAAGAGGCCTGAGCCCAGGAGGTCAGCTGTAACGCTGCTCCAACCTGCTAATCAAGAGCTGCAATAAATTAAAAGCCCATTAAAATATTTTAGAAAAAGCCTAGAAGTGCTCAAACATTAATTGTGCCATATTCAATCTGTTTTCCTAGAGATTTGAAAAGCCAGATTACCACCCTGGGGGTCATTAGAAAGAATGAAGCTTTCTCCCTTTTCCATTTACATATTTAAAAATGCACACATCCTGGCAATGGTCAGTAACTCCTTTCCAAGGCTTTGCAAGTTCTGTGGCTACTTCCAAATACCACTGTCTAGCCACACAGAAGGGAGGCCCACCCGAGCCTGCTTTGTTTTGATTTTTGGGGGGGGGGGGAGTTCTGTTTTGTTTTATTTTGTTTTGTTTTGTTTTTTAAAGTAAAAGAACCAAAGCCCAAGGCCCTTGGTTGCAAAACAGCTCTGGGGAAAAACAGGTAGAGGCAGCAACAAGACAACAGTGATGTTTTCTTGTTTTGTTCTCCCCTGTTTATTTTCCCCTGAAGCAATCACTGCTTGGTACAAAAGTCTGCAGGGAGCTGGGAAGAGCAGCTGTGGTTCCCTGGAGGCCAGGACCCAGCAATCAAGTTGTTTACCAAACACTGCCAGGCACCGGGAAAACAACAACAGTACAGGCAGGCTTTGCATCTATTTTTCAAAAACAACCTCCCAAACCCTGGGTTGCTGGGGAACCGCCCTGCATGGCTCTGGCTGAGAGGAGAAGTGGGAAATTAAAGGCACGGACTGCACTGAGTGACTGCCCGCCCCCTCCCCCAAGGTCTGCATGTAATCAGGATTCCATTTCTACTGAAGACTGTCTATCCTAAAAGGGAGGACTGAGGGCCAGCAGGACTGCAAGCAGTGAATTCATGCATGTGGCCTTCCCAAGCTCACATTTTAGTGAGGCTCTGCCTATAAGCCCCCAGGGGTGGCTTTCCATTGTGATCAAGCGAGAGGGTCTACATGGGGACCCCTAAAACACAGCTCTAGTTTCTTAGTCAGGAGGTTCATATAACATAGAGACTGGACATTCTAGAAAGTTCTCAAGTGATGTTGGTACTCCTGTGAGAATCTCTGCTATGAAGCTAGCCACCCTCTCACTCAGCCCTGCTGGAGATTGGGGGATGTGTTTCCATGTGGACCTCTTCTGAGCGGCTCAGAAGGTAAAGCACGAAAGCACAGTATTCAAAGATGTCCCCAAACAAGAGACAGGAATGGTTTTCCACTTCTTCTCCCAGTTCTCTGCCCAACACTTCCCAACCTGGTCTTGGTCCAGAAAGTTCCCTCTGGATTCTAGTTGGGTTTAACCAATGACAGGTGTCACTTCTGGAGAAAAAAAGACAGGTCAGCGTGGCGCCCCCCCCCCCCCCGCCCAGCTGGTCCCCCACTGGGCTCTGCAAACTGATCTAGTCCCTTTTTGACTGGCATCCATTCCAATTACTGTCTCCCCCTTTACAGGCTGGGACCCCACCGTGCCCTTGTTCCCTTTGACTTTACAAGAAATACGAGCCATCCATTTCCCTCAGGGACCCTTGACTCAAAAGTCTCATTCTGTATGCTGTCCATCAAGTATCCTTTCGTTTAAGAATGCAAAATCTA